GTGACAAAATTTTTATCACCTGCCTTGATATCATCAAGGGCATAAAGGAGCCGAATAACTGTCACCTTTTTAGTCTGGCCTCAGACTGCAATAAATAACAAGCAATAGGATGAGCAATGTAAAAGTATTTTTTAATTTGTATAATCTTTGAATTTTTCCATCTCAGAAAAATGAGAAAGAAAATTTACCATGTAACTTTTTAGGGAGAAATCAAAAGCAGACGGTTCTCCTGGGTATGGCCAGAACACAGAAATTAAAAAATAAAGAAAAGAAAAATAAAACTAAAACCCATAAAATGGTAACAAAAGAAAATAAACTAATCCCTTTGGAAACACATGCACTGTTAATTCAGTTTTAAATACAATGAAAAACATTTCACCTCAGCATTATCTGTCAGATTTTACTGAAAATCTTAAGAACTGACAGTGCAATTTCAAAGTCTTTTGATCATAATTTATAAGAAATAAATAATTCCCCTTTTCATGAATTTCAAAGCCAGGGAAATAGGTGAGAAATTAGAGCATATTACTTGTGTCTGAGGAATGGAAATAGAGGTTTTATCTTCCCTAACTACAGCCTAAACGTAAGCCCAACCCAGGCCCAGATCTCCATCACTCCAGAAATCCACCCAAGAAGTAATAACACATCTACTAACAATTTCCTAGAAACCTCAATAATTGTTGTTGTGCTCTATTTTGTCATCCACTTAATAATTCATCAACTTAATAACTGGCATTATCTGAAGAAGTAAAGAGATTCTACACATTCAGCATTTATAATACAAATATGTCCCTTCTAGTGACAACTATACTAAAAGTTATGTTGAAACTTTATGGAAAATAGAAATGTTAGAATATGTGCATTTCTTTACTTAACAAGCTTAATAATTACCACATATTGCTATGGGGCTGGGTGATAATAAACAGGATGGTAGAAAATCTGAATTTCAACAGATGGAATAAACTTTGAAAAGCAACAAGTCCGCAAGCTCTAGAAGTGTCTAGCAGAGAATATGCGGTCTAGAGTACTGGGTGTTGAACTAGGTGACCCTTATCCCTTATGTAGAGTTCTGTTAAAAATTCTATTTGAGAAAAAAAGACTGGAAAGAAATATATGAGAATATTAGTGCATATTCTCTTTAACGAGCTATATGTATGCTTTTTTCTAATTCTCGTTCAACATCATGTTTTCTCTTCATAATCACTTTTAAAAGGGTGCTCTTTAAAAGCTGTTACTCAAAGGATCTATAAGAGTGATGATATAATTTACTGTTCAAACTGGTACTTTAAGGGGAAAAAGGGACATTATTAATAATTATGCTAAGACAACAGGTATAAACTGGGACTATCCTAGATTAACCAGGACACGGCCACTCTATCTATATCTTCTTGTTTATTTTAATAATTTGGCATGACTGGTGAAATCTGGAGAATCAATAAAGCTACACATGTCCACATAATCCTTTTCCAGACTCTGTTTGAGTACATTAGTTCATTTTTTGGCAAGAATACATTTTTCATCATATATCCTAATGAACATTTTCAAAAGGATAGTCTGTCTATATTTGTTTCAGTGAATCACAGAAAATTAAATACAGCTGACTTTATATTCATACAAAGGAGTAGGGAACAAAAAGATTTTTTAAAGTGATATGAAATAATTTAAATATATAGTGTGCATGTTATGCATGTAAGTGATTCATATTCATTCCATAATCTAGGTAAACCAAATCCAGAATATGAAGGTCAAAGAAGAAAAAAGGAAAACAGCACCAAAGGAACAGTTACTTCCTGGAGCTGGGCAATTCCCCTCCGAGGCGGCGCCCCAGGGAGAGTGCTGGCGGCGGGCAGGGGTGGCCATGGCAGCACAGCAGTGCTCACTTACGATTTTAAGTGGGTACATTCTAAACCCGTGGGCTGAAAGTCTCATTATAAAAACTAAGACATGGTAAAGAGTGTTTTGTTTTGGAGCCATTTGATTAAATAATGCTTTACATGTAAATATTACTTATCTCTGAAATAATTTGTGACTAGTTTTTCCATTACTCCTTGAAAAAAATTCAATAAAGCTAATTTCTATATAGAAAACCCTATTAAAGACTGAACAACTCTTAACTAAACAACAGGACCACATAAGTTTCCTTTTCTCAAGTTACTTTCAAGATACGCTGTAATTTAATAATCAACTCCAAACATATCAGAAACGAGAAACTGAACTTAATTTACAAAAAGAAAAGTACTGGTTAATGTATCTTAGGTGGATTCCAGAAGCGGTGTCTAGGTTTGACTCCAAAATAAATCTCTATTAATGAGCCTCAAAACAGTTCCAGGGGAACCCATCCCAGCAAACAGCTTCAGGTAACAGCAGTTAAGAAGGACAAAGATGAGGACAGTTTTTGTACTAGTCCTCGAAGGCAAATTCAAGACAATTCTGAATTCTGGGCTTGCTTTAAAACATGCACCAAATCAGTAAGAGTCTGCCTACCTACCCTTCAGCAGCCCAAAGAAAAAGGGGCAATGAGGACACAGCATGAAGCTGGGAGAAGTAGCAAATGTGTTTAGATTCCCCAAAGAGAAAAGGAAGGCTTGCGTCATTTAAAAATGAAAATTACAGGGGAGAAGCAATTGAATCGGGTAAATTTAAAAATCCTTGAAGTCAATGAAAGAAGCCCTAAGAAAGATCAATTTCCTTTGCTTCAAAGAATTCAATCAAATTATTTTCTTGGTAAGGAACAAGTCCTCAGTGCCTGATGAAATTATATTGGGCTTTTTGGCTGTTAGAGTTTCGTTAAGAATATTTTAAGTGCATACACTTAAAAACCGAAAACATTTAAACTGCTACTTTAGATAAACAGTGTAGTCAATAATCTTCATACATTTATTTTACATTCATGTGCTTCTCATCATTAAACCATTGTTATTTTTTCACCTTGTATCTTAAAAGGTCACAAAAAATAGCAAACTGTGCGACAAATAGAAACCCACTGTGAGGAAATTACAAGCATAAATAGTTTTACTGGTTACAGTTTGAATTGATTTCTCTTTAAAAATACTTACCAAGTAAGTGCTGGAGAAAGTTCTGTATAGGCATAGTAATCTTTTTTGTTTTAACTGAAAACTGGAAGCTTAGAGTATAATTACCTCTTTAACATTAAAAAGCAATTATTATGGTCAGAATTAGACACTTTTAGTGTTGATGCAGTCTATAAAGGAAGGGAATAATGATCAGGAGCATCAGAACATACATACATTTGTATTAGTACAGATGGGGCAGCAGGTGTATGTAACTCTGTAGATATGTGGTAATTCCCAAAGTATGGTGAATTGGGAATAAGAAATTGAAGATGGATAAATACTAAGTTAAATAAAGCAAATAAATACATTTTTCTCGAATTACTCTCTTAGAGATTTAATCATAGCCAAGGGCTAGTTTCAAAGTTCAATAGAGCTGACCAAATGAAAATTAATGAAAAAACTGGTCTTACCTAAAAATACAAGTAGAAGTGCACAGCAAGGTAAATATTTGCAAGCTTGGCCACAGATGACTATGTTTGTGGGGTGTATTAAATTGTCGAGGAGGAAGAACACTTTTAAGTAAAACTTTCCGAAATTCAGTTAATCAAATCTTTTCTCATAATGCCATTGTAATACTTGACCATTCACTCATTCCTAAAATATTGCTGCTTATTTTAGTGTATAAAAATTCTAAATCATACATACTGGGAATCTGATAGTAAATTACTAAGGGAAAATAAGTTTTTTTGTTTTTTGTTTTTTTTTTTAATCCTCACCCGAGGACATTTTTCCATTTTTTTTACAGATAGAGTGGGAGGGAGAGAGAGGAAGAGAGAGAGAGAGAGAGAAACATCGACGTGAAAGGGACACATCGAGTGGCTGCCACCCGCACGACCAACCAGGGCCGGGGACAAACTGCAACCGAGGTACATGCCCTTAGCGGGAACCGAACCCGGGCCTCTCCGGACCGCAGGCGGACGCTCTAACCGCTGAGCCAAACCGGCCAGGGCTGGGAAAATAAGTTTTAATTAAAAATGTCAGGTCTTATATAGAACACATTTAGAAAAGAATACATGTATCAATTTGCACATTGTTCCTTCTTTCATTTTTATTAGAAAAAAATCTCTCATTGTATCTGTGATTAAATTGACTACATTCTGCATCTTGCCTATGTGGGTTTAACTTATTTATTTATTTATTTATTTTATCCTCACCCGAGGACATTTTTCCATTTTTTTTTTTTTTTACAGATAGAGTGGGAGGGAGAGAGAGGAAGAGAGAGAGAGAGAGAGAAACATCGACATGAAAGGGACACATCGAGTGGCTGCCACCCGCACGACCAACCAGGGCCGGGGACAAACTGCAACCGAAGTACGCGCCCTTAGCGGGAACCGTACCCGGGTCTCTCCCGACTGCAGGCCGACGCTCTAACCGCTGAGCCAAACTGGCCAGGGCTATGTGGGTTTAACTTAAAGGAGGAAATCGGTTCATAGTGAAGTCCTGAGTCACTATACTCCCTGTATTTAAGCCTTGTCAAAATTCAATCAAAAGAGAGAGCAAGAGAGCAAGTCAACTGAATAACTGAAATATGAAATTTGTTCTAAGTATGTCATTTCAAAGTTTGATTTTTAAAAGCGGAATTGTTCTGACATTCAGAACAGAATTCTCATAGAGTTTCACTGTCTTCATTCTTCTCTCCTTTCCTGCAATATAAGAAGCTGAGGGCAAACTGAAGTCCGCTGAAGGACTGGTGTCTCCTACACCCTATTTTCCTGACTGCCACACTCTCCCCTCCAACTTCTGCTTCTACCCCATCACTCTCCTGATTTAAGCATCAAGATAAAGTGATAATCTAATCCAAGCTAGATAGCTAGGGATACTTTTTGCAAGCTTGAGAAACAGCTTCAGTTTTCTGATTACTAACTGTTTAAAATAAAACAAAACTAAAAAGAAACCAAGCTGACTTAATGCTGAAATGGAGCTTACCTTAGAGCCACGTTCATTAAAGATTATTTCTACATCTAGGATTTTGCCAAACTGCTGCAGAGACAAAAATAAAAACATTTGTTTATGGTCAGCTTTTCATCCACATACATTACTTATTTCTAAAAAAGAAACAGCTCCCCCTCAACTACCATATTTAACGTCCATGTTTCTATTTGTTGGTAGGTCCCAATACCAGTTACTGAACTGATAGTTTCTCCTTTTCCACTCCTTTTTCAACTCACTCACTCGTGCATTACCCACCTCTGTATGGTGAAAGCTGTCTTCAGAACGTATTCAGAGCTTCCCTATTACATGCCTCTTCACAAGGCAAGAACTAGAGATTTTCCCCACTACATCTCTAATATTTTAAATGTCTGTGTTTTAAGAGGTAAATCCTCTGTAGAAAGATTTGAAGGCTGTTTTGCTTCCTCTTTTTCTTTTCTTTAATTTATGAAAGTAAATCATGTTCTATATTAGAAAATATAGACAATGAAAAGGTAAAGGGGAAGCAGAAAATGAGTATCACCTGCAATCCTGCTCCCTTAGTTCTGGTACCCAGCCTACCAGCTTTTCCTTAAGCGTGTATTGTTAAGGAACTATTTCCACATATTACTTTTATTCTATTTTTTAAAATTTAATATACTATGAAACTCTTTTCAAGTATATATATCTGTGTCATTTCTGTAAGGTTACATGCTATTTTCCAATATACTTAAATATTGATGGACATTATGTATGATCCCATTTGTTTGCCACTTTAATTTTTCTACAGTGAACATCATCATAAATATTTTAAATAGTAGCTTTGTTTTATAATTAGTTAAATATTTTAATATTTGGAAAATTAAAGCTAAAGCCACAAAGCCTAAATAACTCTATTGTTAGGTAGCTAATAACTGACTACAGGGGCATACAGAGCACAGTAAATATCTGAAGATGTGTCTACAGTGACAAAACTACCTGTCTTAATTAATCCTTGGATCAACTGCATTGAGGGGATGTGCAGTAACTCTCCAGGGATCTTTTTAGCTCACACTTCTCTCTCAGAACTAAACTCTTAGAGCTAATTATCTATTTCACTTGGATTTCAAACCAGACTTTGAAAAATGTGCAAAAAATAAAAAGAGCGAAACAGAAATCATGCTTTCTCAGTGGGCTAAAACATTACTTTTTAAAATAAAAGATATGTATTAAGAACCCAAGTTTTTTAGAATAAGACTTCTGGCTTTGCTTCCTATTTCATCATTTAACAGAAAATTAGAAAAGTCACGGAAAGGGGAAAGTGTCTTATTTTAGAAAGGGCATTTTATTTTCTTTCTATACCAAACCTACAAAAATAAGATTTGTATGGTGTTTCAGAGTTTGTTTTATGTCTTCTAATGCACCCTTATAGCATTCATAAGGACTGCTTTCCTTTTCTGGTTAAAAAGACGAGGCTGAAAGATGCTATTTGTTCAGTTTACAGAGCTAATATAATGGAGATGGATCCCTGCTCTTCTCCAATGCAACTACCCTTCTAAGTAATAGGTAGTAACCATGTGGAGGAAGACAGAGCAACTAGGTACCCCTTGCAAGGAAATTTAATTTTTGTGCACTTGGTGCCTTATGGAAAGGGTATAATACATTTCAAGAAATCACTGCTAAGTGGCCTAGGCAGATCTTCAATGAACAACACACTTCTGACAAGAAAATGTACACCATTTTCCAGAGCTCCAGAGATTACAGTTCCATATTATCTCTGATAATTCAGTAGAGAACCTAATAACTCAGACTCCCGGGAAGTTTCTTCTTAAATGTAACCTAAATTCTTTACACTGCCCTGTATATCTTCTGCTGTGCTCTGCTGCAGGGATGGAGACTAGCTGGCACCATTTTCTGTGGATAAGCTCTCTTCAGGTTCTTCGACAATGTAATCAAATCTCAACCCTGGCCTTGCCTTCAGCGTGCAGCACACATCCGGTCATCAGCTATGAGTGACAGAACTTTACTACAGGGTCTTGTCACCATCAAGTGGCCAACCAAGAATTCAGGAAGAGGATTTGCTTTTCTGACAAAGCACCGGCTGTGATACTAATAAAAAAATTTAAAAACCCAATTATCTTTTAGTCCTAAATCAAGTTAAGAGTTTGTTCAAATTAAAACAGGCAAGAACACAATAAGCCCAGAAAAAAATTAAGATGCTCAGCAGTCATTCACTTCCTAGCAACTCAGATCTCTGCTATTACACTTTGTTTTCAAGACTAACTTCAGGAAGAACTAAATAGCTGGAAGAACTTATCAGAGGTAGCAAACTAACCCCCCTACCTGATTTTAGATATTGGTCTTGACACTGTTGAGTTATAAGCAAGGAAATAAAAACAAAGTGCAGGTACTACCTGCTTTCACAATATACTTTTCTTTAATTTGTAACACTTTGAAAAGTAGGAATTGCTACCTTGTCCTGATTTTAGAATTGGAAGTCTCATGTTTAGTAAACAGGTTATAGGAAAAGTTTCTGATGAAATATTGATTTACCCTAGGATCTTTCTCAATCTATTTGTAGTTTTATCCTAAAGTACTAATGACTAATAATACACCTGGTGGTTATATTTTAATTGTAAACCCAAAAAAGGACTTCAGAGACTTACCCCAAACATCTGACGGAGGTCGGGGTCCCGGAAGCGGAAAGGAATATTAGAGACATGCAGCCGTTTAGGGGTAGATTTACTCTCTGAATTTTCACTACTTTGTGTCTGTGACTGCTGGCCGTCTGTTTGTGCTCCCCCTTCTGTCTGCTAAGCAAAGAAATAAACAATGAACAAAAATAAATAAATACAATTACTTTACAAGAATTATATAAAATAAAGTCCTCCCCCCCCAATCATTCTCAAACAGTATGTCTTTAAGCAAAAATTACAATTGTCCTTCTATGAGAAAAAATAAAGATGCTATCTGTGTACAAAATGCCATAGTTTGTAAACAAAATTTCTGTCTTTTGAATATCTATAGTAAATTAGTAAAATGGGAGAAAGAGAAACACGAAGTGACTTGCCCAAGATCACAGGGAGATACATTAGGATAACTGAAGATACAAAAATAGTACCATTACTCTTAGATTCTTAGTAGAGCTTTCTGTTTTTGAGATCTTTCTGTTTTGAAGATGAAGTTAATTGTGATGATCAATGCATTTTTGGTCTATCATTTCAGGAAATAAGGAAATATTTTTATATTTTATTCTATTAGTTCCAGATATGACTACTCGATTACCTAAGTATTACTTATACAGAGGAGACACTTGGTGACAATGGCCACTTTACTTAAAAACTGAAGCTTCTTACTCTGAAAGCAATCTGTAGTCTCTTCCCTAATTCACAAGATCCCAGCTAACTTTAGCACAGACATCAACCTTTTGTAGCCCAGAGCAAAGTTGCGTTGAGAAAATCTATTTGAAAAGGCTTTAAAGGAGCCTGACTAATCCACTACACACATATAAATGATAGATTTGTGTATATCTATAGTGAAAGTGTGTAAGTGAGTGTGAGGGGGCATTTTAACTCATGAACCTCTTTTGCAGCAACCCAGGCCTGCGTTCATCTAATCCCCACCCCCACCCCCCATAAATCCTCAAAAAAGTTGCTATGTTGAGAAACACTTTTGCCAAATATCTAATAGGCGTGATATATTCTAAGCATTCACAAAACTTTTATTTTGAAGTATTCATCTGGCAATTTCAGAACCTTATGTTTTACTGTTCATTATGATGTACATGCCAAACCAGATGTCTTGCTGAGCTAATTAAAACCAACATACTTTTAAAACAGGAGTGGAACCCCCTGTTCTCATCTCAGTAGGATTGAAACTGGGTCCCTAACTGGTTCTTCTGGGTGACACAAAACAACTCCCTTCCCTTTGGCCCAATGTTCAACTAAAGGAAACTATGAATCAGAGATATTTTTCTTACAGATGTTAGTGACTATCATGAAATGAAGTTTGAGACTTTAAAATATAAAGGACAATCAGGAATAAACTCCAAGTGAATACCAGCTTTTCAAGTGTCAATCTGAGTGATGGCAGCTGTTATCTCATTCCATTCAGGCCTTGCAGATGGCTTAAATGTGCAATGATTCATGTGATATAAAAAGAGCAGAAAAGGGAAGAGACATGAAGCAATGTTCTTCGAAAGTATAAGGTTTTCAATTTTCAATCTGGGCACAATGCAGACTAAACAAAACACATTGCATCCAAAGAAGAAACTCACTGAAGTTACTAAAACAGCATCATGAACACCAAAGCAATAAGCATGAGCATTAATTACAACGAATGCTTATCAAGAACCTTCATCTTATCAAGAATCTTACATCTTTCACAGCTGGATCACATAAAAGTTTCTTCAATTAAACTTTAGAAGCACCAGCTCAGGTCTGCAGGATGTCAGTGTATTACTCTAGAAAAGTTAGAAAGATTGATTCCAGCTCCAAACCAGTTTTATATATAATTTATATAGTGGTGGTAAAAGTAGGTTTACAGTTGTTCATATGGAAAACACCACAATAATTAATAAATAATAATACAAGAATAATCTCTGTTCCATGAACACACAACTGTAAACCTACTTTGCCCACCCCATCCGTAGTCCCTGTAATCTGTAATACTGCATGTGAGATAACAGGATCAATGAAAACTAATGACTGCTTCAAAGTACAGTATGTTGCCCAGGCTACTCATTTGTTGATCCTGAGAGTTTTTTATAGCCCTGAAGACACAATTTAAGAAAAGGTTAGAAGCCAAATTGGTTTATTTTCCAGCACTGTAGTGAACATCTACATTTTTTTTTATTCCCCCTTTCAATCTTGGCTGCCATAATCAGACAGACAGAAAGCACGACCCATTTTTTTCTTGCGTCTGCACTGGAACCTAACACATTTTTTAAAAGGTATGACATCATTTCTTTCTTTCTTTTTTTTTTTAAATCCTCACCCAAGGATATTTTTCCATTTATCTTCAGATAGAGTGGGAAGGAGGGAGGGAGAAAGGGGAGAGGGGGAGAGAGAGAGAGAGAGAGAGAGGGAGAGAGGGAAACATTGATGTGAGAGAGACACACTAATTGACTGCCTCTCGCATGACCCTGACCAGGGCTGGGGATCAAACTGCCACCAAGGTACATGCCCTTCACTGGAAATGAACCTGCCATTCTTTGGTCCTCAGGCTGACACTCTAACCGCTGAGCCAAACTGGCCAGGACTCATTTCTTTCTTTTCTTTTTTTTTTTAGAGAGACGAAGTGGGGAGAGAGAAAGAAACATCAATGTAAGAGACAATCATCAAACTACTGCCTTACTTTATGTGCCCTGACCAGGAATTGAACCCGCAACCCTTTAGGTACACAGGATGACACTCCAACAACTGAGCCACCTGGCATGGGCAAAAGCATGAAATCTTTAATTTTAGAAAGATTGGCAAGTGAGAAAAGTAAACTATCGTTTCCAAAATTCTCAACTTTCTGATTTAATATAAATTTTCAGTTGAAGTTTAACATACATAATAGATACAAATGCACAAATCTTAAGCATAATAAGCTGAATGAATATTCACAAAGAAAATACACCCATATAACCATCAAATTAGATCAAGCTGCAGAACTCCAGAAGTACCCTTGGGCTCCACTACAGTCATCAATCCCCTGGCCAAAGGGTCACCACTATCCTGGACTTCTAACTCCATAAATCAGTTTTGCCATTTTTTAACTTGAAAAGGGGGGTAGGGGATCATACTGTATGTACTTTCTGTCTGTCTTCTTTTACACATTATATTTGTATAATACACACATGTATTAATTCATCCATTCTTTTTCCATTTTATGAACATAGAATTTATATGAGCTACTTTCCGTTTTTGGCTAGTAAGTTCTTTGTTACATGAATATTCTTATTACATGTCTTTGTTACCTGAGCAAGTATTTCTGTCGGGTGTACATCTAGGAGTGGATTAAGGGTATGTGTCTAGGAGTACTGGGTTAAGGATATGTGTAAGTTCAGATTTAATAGATACTGTCAGTTTTCCAAAGCAGCTGTACTAACTTCGACTCAATGGTGTAAGAGAGCTGTAGCTGCTCTTAGTATTGCCATTTTCATTTTAATTATTCTGGTGGGAGGTAGTGACATCATATTGTGGCTTTAATATGCTCTTTAAAACTATGATCCTTTTTTTCTTTCCACTTACAGAATGTTGAGAAATGGGAATTTCCTGTGAAATAGCAACTATTTCTTGAGTGCATACTATACAACAGACCCTCATCTAAGCCTTTTAATAACACAGGGCCTCGTTTATCGTGGTTCATCAGTCCCAGACTCTGCCGCGGTCGATGCATTTCCGTGAAGTAGAGTCTTTCTTTATGCAGTTGGCCCTGGCCACCTTGCGCTTCTCAGGGCTTCACTCTGTTGTGGAGTGGCGAGAGGTGACTATAAGTAATATTTAAGTAGTGTTTACTATTTGACAACACTGGCCTACATATTTTAATTTATGTAATTCTTTCAACAACTGTAACAGTTAGGTAGGTACATTTAAAAAACAAAACAAAACTTGAGAACATAGCAGGTACTATTTTTACCCAACTTTTCAGCTGAGGAGTCTGAGGAATAGCAAATTGCCTAAGTAATGGAGCAGGCATTCAGACACAGGCAGTCTGGCTCCAGAGTACATGTACTTAACCAGTATATTATATTGTACTTTATTTTTGTTAATCCTTACCCGAGAATATTTTTCCATTGATCTTTAGATAGAGTGAAAGGAAAGAAAAAAGGGAGGGAGAGAGTGTGAGGGGGTAGTGAGAGAGAGAGAGAGAGACACATACATTGGTTGCCTCCCCCAGGACCCTGAACAGGGCTGGGAATTGAACCTGCAACCCCTTGACGAGGAATTGAACCTGTGACCCTTTGGTCCGTGGGCCGATGCTCTAAACGCTGAGCCAAACTAGCCAGGGCTATAGTACTTTAAATGTATTATTGTTTTTTAAAATTTCTCACAATAATCTAAAAGGAAGGTATTGTTATGATCCCCAACTGACAGAGGCTGAAACTAGTGCACAGAGAGGTTGAGTTACTTGCCCAAGGTCACATATTAAGCGGCAGAGCAGGAATTCAAAACTAGGTAGCCCAGTTTCATGTGCTAACCCACCTCTTTTCTCGCACTGTACCATGCTCTCTTCTCCTGAGAAGGGTGAGCACGTGTGGATCCCACACCCTCACTTCCTCAGGACACTCACCTGAAGTAACGAGACGTCTCCTGGGTGGAGACAGGCATGGGGGCGAGGGACGAGAAGAGCTCTACAGGAGGTGACATGTATCCTGCACCTTGAGGGAAGAGGAGCAGGCTGAGCCACAAAGGGGAGGAAAAGCTAGAGCAAAGAAAACCAGCCAGGCCTGGTGACATTCACAGAGGAAAATGTCAGAGAACTGATCCCCAAAGCAGCTGCAAAGCAGACTTCCATTCTGAGTGGTCACAGGAATAGGAAATACACATTCAATGTAATTACATGACATCATATTTCCCATTTGACATTACTAAATTTAACATTTAACAGGCTAATTATTGAAATAGACAAATTACAGTGAAAAGGAAAAAGTTTTTAGGCTATATATTTGTGTAAAGTGGACAGTTGAACTGTTCTGAGAAAAATCTCAGTCAGTACAGCATTGGTTTCTTTATTTTCTATTGTTAGCTGCTGAGCAGCTTCACTGACTTTATAAACAGCCTCCGAAGGTTCTGGTTTTCCCTTCCGTGGTCCTTTTCTGACCTAA